ATTTTGACAAAATGAAATACGTGTTTGGCGAAATTTTTAATTTTGACATAAATTTTTTTTTAGAATTAATAAAGTGTATATATATAATCTCACCTTATTTTAGGTTGAAGAAAGTTTATTAATTAATTAAATATGGATGGACAAAAATTAAATATCGATAAGGAGTATCTTTATTATCATTATTAATATTCATTTTATATTTTAAAATTTAAGAAAATATGTCACTAAACTAGTTATTTGTGTAGTATGTAGACTAACTATTATTATACAGGTGAAATTACTTCATGTACTTACGAATCCTAATTTAAAACATGTGCTTAGATTTATTTAATAATCTTAATATTTATTTTATCACAAATACATTTTTATAACTACTAATAATAGCAAAGTTACATACCAAAACGTCTTTAAAACTATTAATAAGAATTATTATTTATATACTTAATTAGAATAAATATCAAAGCAAAATAATTAGTGGCGACTAAAAAGGTTGTCGCAAGAAATCAACTTTTAATGGCGACCAAAAGCTTGTTGCAAAAGACGAACTTTAGTGGCAACATAACCGCCACAAAAAAGTATCTTTAGTAGCGACTCATTATAAGTCGCCACAAAATAACTTTGGCCATCATTCATTAGGAAAAAACAAAGCATATTGTAGCGACCTAAGAAATGTCGCCACTATTTATATAATTTTTAGTGGCAACTATTAAGGTCGCCACTAATACTTTCACATATTGTGGCAACTTTACGTGTCGCCACAAAAACCTTATTTTTTGTTGCAACTAAGCATGTCGCCACAAAAGGTCGTCACAGAAAACTATATTTCTTATAGTAGCAGCAGCACAAAGTATGTTATTTTATTTTTGTTTATATCAAAGGGCTGTTGGTCTTTTTGGTTATCAATGGAGAAATCATGGGCATAGCAGAGAGGGGCAACTGCCCTTTACAGGAAATCCCAATCTCTCTCCCAATCTCTCTGATTCCTTATTCTTCTTTCTTTCTAGGCTATGTTCAGCTAATACCGAACACATATGGTGATACATTATTGTATCAGAAAATGGCAGGTTCAACATATACTAAAATTATATCACAGAAAAATATTCTTTTTCTCTTCTCTCTTTTCAAGCAAAAGGTGCCCAGATGAGTTTTATGATAAGGCAAAAGAGAAGCCAGCCAGAACATGGCTGCAAACGCCAGTTGCATGGGAGGGAAATCTCAATCACATGCCATACCGGGTTGCCACGCCAGGATGAGAACGGGTCATCTCCATGCCCAAATTGGTTAGCCCAGATATAATCATCATAACTGCCTCTTCATGGGTCATCTCCACAACAGTTAAATCCATTTTCCATTTTGTGGCAAAGCGAAGGGCATTAACCCTTCAACACTCTTTTTGGATCGTTGTTATATATTTATTCATAATGTATGGCATTATATAGGATTGTGTTGTATCATATTATTTTAATGAACACAATGTTTGGATGGATTGTATCATTTTTTGTCGTTACATAATGTCACACATTAATAGTTTAAAGGACAAGCCTAAGAAAAAAGTAGGATACAGGTTACAAGTTTACAACTAGTATAAATAGGTATGGTAAAGAATAAAATAAGATATTAAATTATAAGCAAAGACAAAATGAGAATGAAAAAGAATAAGGAAATATCATGATCATACCAAAACGGTTAAGTAACAACTCAAAGCAATACAATACAAGTAATAGACAACAACCATCCAAACAAGCTGTAAAGGAAAACTCAAACTCTCTATTTTGCCTCATTTCTTTCTTTCTGGGCTAACCTTTTCCGTGTTTGGGGAAATTCTTTGGTTTTTTCACCTTCAAATCACCTGTTTCTCCAATGCCTCATTCTTCAGAGCTGAAATTTCAATGCAAATCCATCCAAGACATGAAACGGGTTATTGAGGGATCAGATTTGCTGTATTTGAATAAAATGAAAGAGATCAAAGCTGAAATTTCAACGCAAATACATCCAAGACATGAAACAGGTTATTGAGGGCTCAGATTTGCTGTATTTGAATAAAGTCAAAGAGGAGCGACGACGACATGGCTGCAGACACCAGTTTGCTATTCAAAGCCTTAACCAGGTCGCCCTGCCAAGATACGGGTCGGGTTTTTCTCGCCCAGAAGGGAAGTAAGCCATCATCACAGCCCCTTAACAACAACAACATCATCATCAGAAGCAACACAGAGAGAGAGGAAGATCAAGACAAGTATAGGGGTGTGTAATGTGCTCGTATGAAGTTCATCCAATTTTTATTTTATTTTTTTTGTTTATTTGAAAGGGCTGTTGATTTTTTTGGTCGAAATCACTGGCAAAACAGAGATGGGCAACCACCCTTCACAGAAAATCCCAATTTCTCCGATGCCTCATTCTTCAGCTTAAACCCGTAATGGGTTTTCCGACCCGAGAATGGACTCAACATTCAAGACCACGAAATGGGTTATTAAGAGCTCAGATTTTGCTGTATTTCTTAACAAAGCAAAAGAGAAAAGCGACGCCGCCATGGCTGCAGACACCAGTTTGCTACTCAAAGACTTAACCGGGTCGCCCTGCCAAGATACGGGTCGGGTTTTTCGCAATGCCACGATTGAACATAGCCCAGAAAGGAAGCAATCAATCATCATAGCCCCATTACAACATCAGCATTCAACAGCACAAAGAGAGGAGAAGGAAAAAGAGGAAGAAGAGTATAATTAGCGTGTGTTTGGAAGAATTAAATATTAATAATGTTTGTTTTTCTTGTTCATTTAAAAGGGTTGTTGGCCTTTTTGTTCCATTAATGGAGAAATCACTGGCTTAAGCAGAGATGGGCAACCACCCTTTTACAGAAAATCCCAAATTCTCTGTCGCCTCATTCTTCTTCCATTTTTGGCTATGCTCCAAATTGATGCTTCTCAGAGAGCACATGTGTGTAAAATAGGGCAAAAATTCTGGGGAAGTGGAATCAGGGGCATATTAGTCAATAGATATAATTATTTGTTAAGCTTAATTTTAGAAGAAAAAAATTGATATACAAAACCTGTGTGAGGAACAAGATATCTAAATGTTAAAATTAAAAATTTCAACCAAATATCAAAGAAGATATAAATTAAAGGAAAAGAAAGTCTTGTTCAAAAGGATCTCCAATTTCATATTGGATTTATAATTTCAATTTAGCAATTAAACTTAAAGTTGTTGTGTTAAATACTAAGATTGATGAATGTTGACGTTTTTCGATGTGATTTGAGAATGATTTCATGTGATTTTATTCTTAACAATTAAAGCAATTTCAATTCATTTTAATTTTTAATATATTTGTCTTGTCATATCCTACGTAAAAATCGAAAAACCTATTTAAATAGCTATAATAAAGTTACAAGCTTGGATTTGATCTATGTGACCGTGATATTTGTGATCTAAGTTTTGTTTATTGCATAATATTCAACTGTTCTTTATCTATCGTCATGGTAATTTAACTGACATCTAAAACTGATAAAAAATAAGATTTTGTATTTCTCCTGTTTGGACTAGCATGCAACTTGCAAGTATGTAAATAATTTGAATGTTTGTTATACCAAGATAAGTAGATGACGGGAAAGACTTTTCTTCTATTCAAGTGTATTTTACAATAGCGAATGATATCTCTATTTATAGGTTCAGAAATCAATCTAAATGTTGTCATATTGAATGTCAAATTAGTAGATATATTGTTATTCCAAAATGTTCATATCACCTAGGGAATACACATACATGAATATAAATATAAGTTCATGAATAAACTCAATAGACAATCCAGTTAGTTCAATGGATTTATAACAAGAAGAAAATATAATTTGCTAACATAAATTGCAAGGCAATACTTTCTACAATCTATGGTGAAATGAAAACTTGATTCAAACATTCCATTCTAGAGCGTTTCGTGCATGATACCACCAAAAAAAATTACCTAGATTAATCACATTGCTTGCAAAGTTGTGTTTCACATTGTAAGAATCCTTTTAGCAAGCTTGTTTTTTAATGAGTATATTGTTTAAGTAACTTAATTCAATCTCCGTTGCTGCAAAATTTTAAACGTAAAGGGATAAAATGCAGAAGCCAAAAAAAGGCACAACAATATTCACCACTTCATCATCTTCTTGACACTAAAAAAAAAAGTTGCCATATGAGTTACAAGACAGAATCACAATCATTTAACAGTAATGTTGTTCGAGTCTTTGTTGTATACATAATTTTTCTGCCAACAGAAATTTGAATTAGAAAGCCTCTGCTAAAACTAATAGACAGAAAATAATATACTACTAACAAAATTGGCATATATGTTAAAGACACAAAAAGCTCAGAAAATATACATTTAGTGAAACCAAAAACAGGAAGATAAAAAAAAGCAAAACATTGTCGCAGAAACATTAGCATTTAGCAGTATACAAACGATACTAATCAATATGTATAAAGTGTACGTGAACTCCAAAAACATCAGAAATAGAACAAATAAAGAAAATCTCAAAGTCAAAGAAAAAGTACGCAAAGACTAAGGTAAGGCTGTGATTCTTGCTCGCAGTCAAACATCAATAAGACAGCTAACAATCTGAGAAGCATATAGAACAGAACAACAACAGAGAATGAATGAATAGTATAAAGGATAGAAGAAAGTAGAATTAAGAAAGAAGTCACAGTTGAGATTATCAAAATGTACTCAAACATAATGTAAATGACATTAAGCACATATGTTGAACATTTTTATGGGCTCTTCTACAATCAGTAGAAAAGTTCTCTTTGATAATGGAAGCGTAACTTGTAAGCTAAACATGACTCTATTTTGTATTTTTCAATTTTTACAAGTAAATGCTTACTAAGAATGATAACGGTGCGCAAAAGACCAAAAGTTACATGACCCCAATATTTCATCTAACTTCACTTGACCAGGTGCTCCAATGGGACCTAATTATTTTTACGAGACCACCTATTCTTTGAATTTTCATCTGCAAAACTTCTCTCAACTAACCAAAAGTTACGTGGCCTCTTGTTGGAGATGAGAAATCTTCACCATAATTGGCTGTAAAACCATGTTTCCGGAAGGGCATTCTTGTTCGCTTCATTCTGGCATCAGACCTTATATCTGGAGATCTACTATGCCTTCTTCTGCTGTTGAGGTTTCGTTCTCTCTGTGTATGCCACGAATGGGGAGAAGGTGTTCTAGATCTTGAACGATATCTCCTCTTCGGCAGTGAAATACGAGCTACTCTACTTGAAGCTGGAGAACCAGTTCTTTCTCCTCTGGGTATATACTGAGGCATGCGTAGAGAAGATAAATCACCATCACCAGGTATAAACTCATACCTTTCTTCCCTTACACCTCTTGCAACCCTCTCAGAGACACTTTCAGCACCATTGCGGCTCCGGTAGCCTCTCATTGGTACCATCCTCCTATGGACATCATAATAGTCATCCCTTTCAACAGATGATCTCCTCCTCACAAGTGGCCTGCGCGCACCTTCTGAGGGAAAAATTATTGATTGCTGATGATCTCGAGAGTTTAACCCACCAAACTTGTCAGCAGAATTTTCAAAATTGCAGTGCCTTGAGTAGTTATCACTCTCAGGGTAGCAATTTCTTGAGTAGTTATCACGATAAGCATTTGGGTAGCAATTTCTTGAATTCGAGCTATTCCACTGGCCATTCGTTGCCCCTTTGTCTAGTGAATTATAACCAGATCGATATCTACCAACGAATTTTTCTGGACTAACTTCTCTTACATGCTTATTGTAACAACCAATAAGGTTATGGGGCCTACAAGAATCATCAAGTAAATTATAAGAAAGCAAGACTCAAAGGAAAGAACCATCTTAAGAGGCATCATAGTTAGAAAAACAAATACTCACATGCATTGGTACTAAAATTATCAGGTAATTTATAAGAAAGCAAGACTTTTATGTAAGACTTGAAGGAAAGACACTGTAAAGGACATTAGTCTCGAAAACAGAACCCACCTGTTTTGGTACTTCCGTGCAGCGCTATTCCCATCTGCCACACCCAAATATAGCGATCCTTCAATACGTGACTGTAGCTTCCCTCTGTTTTTCTTTGAACTAATTTCCTCCGTGTATGACCCTCTGAATTCATATGCTGCCATGCGATCAGATGTATGTCCTTTTCTAAAAACATCTTCTTTTCCTCCAATCTTATCACTGAACCTTAGAGTTGTAGATCCAGATCCAGGACCCAACCTTTTATTTCCATCACTATCACCAATGTTATTGTCCTCCCTGTTGAATTGCCTCTTCATAAAGCTTTTTGCAGATCCACCCTTCATAAAATTCACTCTTGGTCCGCTGGTTGACGAGATTCTTTTTTCTGTATTTTGTGAACCATCAGAACCTGCTTCAACCATTTCAGAGGATGGGTAATCACTGGCATCAAAATCCAAGTCAACTCTACCATCTGATGCATAATTAACACATTCATCTTCACCATCCTTAATTTCATTGTCCTCCAAAGAATACATAATTGATCCCTTTAATTCTCCATCCTCAAATGGAGAATCATAGCCAGCCTCAATTCTAGTCACATGCTCTCGACTAATCAGTTGACTATGATCTTCATGAGATATATCAGAATTATGGCTATCTTCAAAAGCCGAAGCACTCCTTGCAAATAGACTAGTATCATCGATCTGCAACCCCTCATTACAGCTTCTTGAGGAGTCCTTCCCAGAAGTTGTGCAGTTTTTCACTTGATTAAATGTTAAGTTATCACTGAACTTAGAAATTACTTCATTCCCTTCTAACTGCATTTGAGAATCAATAGCTAAAATGTTGTCATGTTGCTCCATGGGTTCAACGGTAACAGACTGGCCCTCAACTATTGAGGCCTTCGATGCAGACAAATCTTCACACTTGGATGAATGAAGGCAGAAATATTTTTCTGTAGGATTACTATCAGAACTTTCAATATCCATGACATTCAAAATACTAGTATCAGATACTTCACTGGTTATAGGATCACTACAGTCAATGTATTTAGAGGCATTCTCACAACCAGGCTTTGCTGGGTATGGGACCTCAGATAAAGCAGCTTTATTAAATCCTGCAGCCTTTACAGAAGAATTTCTAATGTGTGTCAAAACTAGGCCATCAGAAGCATTTGTAATTAATCCATTTGAAACAAGCATCCATGAAGCATTATGTGATTTAACTAAAGAAGAATCAGCTAATGATGCATCTCCAGTGACAAGTTCATCAAATGTTTCTCTTTGCGCAGATAAAAAGTCCAAGGCTTTGGTAGAATGGCAAACAATGTTTCCAAACTCACCAGAGATTCTATCATTAACTAAGACTGATTCAAGCTTGCATACTTCAGCAAGCTCATAAACTGTTCTATTTTGATCAGGATGCCCAGAAATGGGTTTATAGTATTCAAAATCCCCTTTTTTATCACAAATTTCTATTTTGAGTTTCTCTTTCTGTGCTCCATTATCTAAGCCATTGGCAAAGGCATTTTCCATAGAGGAATCCTTGGGAGGTTGCACCCATGTTTCCACTAAGGTGTTGAGATCCCAGTGTATTCTGTCGACCTTTGGTGACACTAGTCTACTTACAACTGATGGTTCTTTAAAGTCAGCAAAAACTTTAAGAGCAACAACCGATTCATTAACAGTGGAGGCCTCCATCTTGCTTCCATGCATCATATCTCCTCTACCAGGATCCGTCAACTCCTTCAGGGCCGATATGTCCTTCGGATGAGGAGCAGACCCAGCAAATCCCCCTGGTGCTGCACATGCAACCATAGCATGTGCTTCCTTTGCATTATCAAGGTCACCATCCTTGTCATTAGTGCAAGCAGCATCAGCTAAAAGCGCAATTCCCAAGAAGTCTTCTGAATTGTAAAGTTTCCCAGTAGCAACCTTAGAACTTTTAGCATCTACCAATCTATCACTAAGACCAACTTTACGGGCTACCTTTCTGTCAAATCTCAACGCACGTCCACTAGAACGTGGGTCTGAACTCCAATTATCAGATGAATGGCTATAGATCGAAATTTGCTTGGAGTCTTCTGATGGCATAGGAGTTGCTAGAAGAGATTGTGGTGATAGTGAATCTTCACAGTCAATAGATGGATTTCGAGATTGCGCCAATGAAGTTTGAAGCAAATTCCTTCTTTTCTTAATTGGAACATGTTCATCTTTATCAGAAGACCAACATCCAGCACCATGAATCTGCTAAATATTTAATAGATGCAACAATTAGACACACTAAAAATTGTATTGATAAAAAAATTACAAAAGAATCACAAGGTACCTTGTCAGAATCTGAGCCTGAAAAATCTCCAACCCTCTTAGGACTCCTGTTCATCACCTTCATACCCTCATTGAGGCGTCTAGCAACTGTCCTCCTAGACCGCCTTCCCTTTGTCACAGACTTCCAACTCAGCTCAGCATTTATAGACTTTGCAACTTCCGGACTTACAGTACTAAGCATGTTGCCAGATATGGATCCAATCAACTTACAAACTCCATCCAAAAGTCTTGTGTAACGTTTCAATAGGCTTGTTTCTATTAATTGAACAACTCAAATGTCGATTTTAAATTATCAGGACATGTACACAAGCAAGTCTGCACAATTAAAATATTCCACTTAGCATCGTTAAGTTATTTGAGACTCCGCAATTGCAGTATTTTCATGAGTAAACTAGACACAAATTATAGGAATACTTTTTAACTAGGTTTACATGAATACTTTTTAACTAGGTTTTACCATAGCCACATTGCTTCATACAAACTCAAATTCAGAAGTGTATCTCATTACACATATTAATTGGACAAGGCAGCAAAAGAGAACATAAATATCAATATTTGGGAAGGAGCCAGAGAAAGATTATTAACATAGTTAAATGCTTATTAACCAAAAACAGTTTCAAAATCAGCTGTCATATTGCATAAATATCCGTCTATCTACTCAAATACTATCTTTCGATTGTAATAGCATTCTAGTATTTTCTAGCGACGAGCCCTAATAATAATGCTTACTCATCCCAGCCCTAAACTTTAATGAGCTAGAGGCATGGACGAACTATTAGGGAGGTCATTAGACTTTTAGAAAAAGTCTAATAGTCATTCTGTATTAAACTATTAGCACGTCAAACAAAACAAACAAGGACTTTAAAACATGAAGCAAATAATAGGGGGGAAAAGGGGGGAAGAGAGGCAATGTTGCGGAGGGGGGAAGGGGGGGCAATGTCACGGTGAAGGTACAGACTCCAATTTTGCGCCATTTGTGCATGTAAGATGGGAAAAAAGGTGAAAGCATAGAAAAAAGAGAGATTAAGTAGAGATCTTATATATTTAACAAATTACCTGGGATGAAACAGCTAGCATAAGTAGAGCACACAAAGAGTTAACTATATAGCAATGAAGTAGACCCAGAATTGCCACATGGCAGAGCCAGGAATTTGGTGAAGGGTGTGCAGTTTTTTTCTCAGCGGTGTTAAGGAAATGCAAAATGATATATATATACTCATAATAGCCAATTAATCTTTGTTCACCAAATAATTTCCCGGCGACCATCCTTCCTCTGAGGTGGCTCAGTGGGCAGAATATGATCTCTAGCATATGAATCTAATCAAGAATCATAATTTGAACATATAAATCTAAAAGAGATCACGACATTGAAAACGCAGACATTACAAATGAATCTAAAAGATAGGCAGAAGCTCCACCTAAGGTTTTGAAGCCGAGTCTTTCCAGGAATGGGGACCCGGGAACAATCTGATGATTGGCTTAGGTATCTGGGTATTCAATCCCTCCACTGAGATGCTTAGTTGACTCCTCAACCTCTTGTTTTATGAGCTATTTCTGACCTCCAACCACAGATCCTATGCCACCAGAAAGCACTTAATTCTTCAGCTATTGATTGATATACATGAGGCCAGAAAACAATCATCAAAGATAAGGTTATGGATATTAAAATCCAAATTGGATGGGATTTTGATCAAATCGCAACTTTAATTGCCTCGGCACCAGAGAATCATTATACAGTAGACAAAACAAAGGCACTTTCGGCTTGATCCTGAATCGCAACTTCAATTGCTTCAGCTATTGATTGATATACACGAGGCCAGAAAAGAATCATCAAAGATAAAACTATGGATTTTTAAATCCAAATTGAAAGGAATTTTGATCAAATCGCAACTTCAATTGTCGCGGCACTGGAGAATCAATATAGAGTAGACAAAACAAAGGCAATTCCGGGGTGATCATGAATCTTGAAGCCATTGACAGCTTGAAAAGGAAGGAAATAACCCTAGATTTGTCTTCTAAAACCACATATCTGGTAGTCCCAAACATTGTATATTCTCCTCCGATGATTAGTGAAAAACAATGAACAAAAAATCGCAGAAAAGCATTAGCTAGGGTTTTCAATACCTGTTAATTTTCTTCCCAACCAACAAAAATTAAACCTGCCGACAAGTAAAGATTCCGCGACAACTTCTTCTACTCAAAACTTGACGATGCTTTTCAAAAGAATGCGATTTTCGCAGAAACAACTAATCTTCAGGTCTCGCTAACAGAAACAATGGCAAATTCTTCTTCTTCTTGATATATTGGTTTAATTATGTGAATGAAGAAAACAAAACAAATCTCAGCCGGAAAACTCGATCGGCGACGGAAATCACTCGCCGGAAACTAGCCTTGCGAAAGTCGACGTTTTGTTGTAATTCTTCTTCTCTTCCTCACAAGCCTGGGGAAGGATATGACACAAGTTGAAAGGAGTGGAACGCCACGTATTTAAGGTTGTCTTTGTGACCAAATTGCCCTTGTCTGCGTGCTTAATTTACCCTTGATACCCTATCTGGCTTCAAAACCTAAAAGCCCAAACCCTATTTTATTATTTGTTTTTTGAAAATTACCGTCAGCACTCAACAGTGTTGGAGCGGCATTCTCTGACGTTTTTGCCCTCCAAACCCAGATAAATTACAGTTAAACCTTGATTTGCGCAAATTAACAATTTTGGTTGTAGTAATTTGCAATTGAGTAAGCTAGATAATTTTGGATAATTCGTCTTATGCTATACTCTTACTTTTTTTTTTTTTTTTTTTTTAACTTTTATTTGTCCACTATTCTAAAAATAAATTTTAATTATCCTACTCACTCATAATTAAGTTCAAAAAAAATTGTTCAACAATTTCATTTATTGGTGATCGAAACATAAATGAATAAATTAATCTACATTATATATATTCATTTAAAATTTATAACATGATTCGGATTATATTAAATTCATGAATATATTAATCCAAATAAATATTATGAATTAATATAATTGGATTAATTATTTAAGTCCAATAAATATGAATTTAATTAAAGTCCAAATTAATTGATTTGAGTTACAATAGATAAACCTATTTTACTAAGCTCAATTTCATTTCATCCTAGATGCCTATTTTGGTGCCAAAGTAGCAAATGACGTTGCATGTCAAGTCAAACAAGAAGTCGATAGAATCATGACATATGTCAGAAATGACAAGCATGCTTCATAAAGCTCATATGTCATATCACTTAAATTTGATTGGCCAAAGGGAATCTTGTACCAATCACAACTCATCTATTCTAAAACTATAAATAGGGTCCTCGTAATTTAGAAAAGGGATAGAAGAAAATTTTAAACAAGAAGCTAGAGAAAAACTCGTGGTACAAACGCCATAAATTTCTCTATAAGCTACAAGTTTAAGAGCTCGAGCATTCAAGTTTGTTCAAGTTCAAGTTCATCGAAGATTCAAGAAGAAGTTTTAAAGCCCTTGAATCCAAGATCAAGCTCAAGAGCCCTTGAATTATATCTGAAAAGAGGAATCATAGAGATTGTAACACTCATACTTTAAATCAACAAATACGATTGTTGCGATACTTTTCCGTTCTTGATTATTATTTTCTCGACGTGAATTTTATTGTCAACAATATATTCAACGATTTATGAAAATATTACATTTTATTAGTACAAGCTATCATTTATAGAGGCGGACCTACATTCAAAGTTAGGTCCACATGCACTCATTAATTTCGAAAAAAATCATGTATATATATGTATATCTATTTTAGACAAAAACTATGATATAATTAATAGTGCACTTATAAGGAGCATAGGAATTTCTTGTACTGTTGGTGCAAGTCTAAGGTATCATTTGCGTGACCAAGATTCAAATTCAACACTCATAATTATCATCATTATATATTTATTCAAACTAACACGCGTTAACCATATTATATTACTTGATCATAATAGTTTTGTGTAAATGATTGAAAGCAATTATACTTAATTCTCAAGTGAGATGAGAGTTGTTGATAATTACATTATATATAATGTAACCAGGGGCGGTTCAACAGATCTCGTGACCTAAGGCAAAATCATATTAAGAGGCCCTTAAATTTATTTTTATCAAAATTTATACACTAACATATGCAACAGATTAATCATTAAGAAAAAAATAACAAATTTCACACACACAAAAATATATATATTAGGAAGAAGAGTACAAAAAATAAAGTGGTGAATTATCGATGTTAAGATTCAAAACTCAAATTGAAATTTTAATTTGGCTATCATCACAAATAAGAAAAAGGAAAGAACATACATAACTTAATAGTTGAAGTTTTGAGCATGGATAGTATCAAAAATATATACACCTTCTTATCAAATGTCTGATCAATTTAAATGGCATAATTCATTCCATTAAGTAGCATTCATCGGTGAATATTGAAAATAAATTATAATTTTTTCATCTAATATACTCCCTCTGACCAACTATTGACTTGGCACCCCCCTTAAAAACTATAAATAAAAGGGTAATTTTTCTATATTACCCTTTAAATATAATAAATACAATGTCTTGAAAAATATAATAGGGAAATAACTATAATTAATGGTAAGGGTAAATTAAGAACTAAGTGTAAAATTGTCCATTGATTTTATAAAATGGACAAATATTGTTAGACATCCCAAAATAGTATAGTGGACAAGTATTGTTGGACGGTGGGAGTATTAAATTAAAACGAAAAGAAAACTTGTGCATGAATGCTTTTGTCTTCACACAGTTTAAGAAAAGATTGAAAACAAATTCAGTATGTTATCGATATATATAAATTAGTTCCTATATAAAAAAATTAAAATTTAAAATTAAAAGTTAAAATAAATATATCAAATAATGCGTGAAAAGATTATGAGAATTCATAAACTTATTAGTATAATATACTCTCAAGCAAGTAATAATAAAAAATATACAATAACAAATTTATTTATATAAAATATATAATATATAATAAAATTGATAATAATAATTTAAATAAATTTGGGGCCTTCAAATTTTTGGGGCATAAGGCAATGGCCTCACTGGCCAAGCCTTAGAGCCGCCCCTGAATGTAACATTTCAACTTACATTTTTCCTTTTCAAAGATAATATAAGGATGAAAATATTTCAAGAATTTCTAGGTTTAATTTTGCGATGTTGTTTAATTTATTTATTTTTCAATTAGAACTGTTATTAATATAGTACATTACGAATGGTAAGATGATCTTCAATGACAAATAACCCATGAAATGAGCTTTTGGCCCTTAAAATCACTTATATATATAAAAATAAGGGATAAGGGTCTGAAAAATACCTCAACTTTGGTCAAATTTGTTGTTGCGATAATAAACTTTCATGAGGACCTATTACCTCCCTAGACTATTTAATACCGTATTTTTTATCCCTTGAACTATTTAATAGTGTATTTTAAAGGTATATATGTGCCCACGTGGACACATTTAAAATACACTATTAAATAGTTCAGGGGATAAAAAATACGGTATTAAATAGTCTAGGGATGTAATAGGTTGTTATGAAAGTTTAGTATCGCAACAACAAATCCAACCAAAGTTGGGTATTTTTCAGACCCTTATCCCTAAAATTAATGAACAAAAGAAATAATTTTACAATTTTCATATATGTATTTATCGATCTCATGTGTTATAGACTTATAGTTTACCAATCTAATATATAAAATATTTTCCTTTTTATATATTATATTTTTAGAGGTGAAAATCTTTCTTCTTATTGAAGATAATATCTATGTGATTCTTGAATTTTTGACCTAGTCTTTGTTGTTATGAGAACTTTGTTTTGCGCATTAAATGGTTGAGGTAGAAAATAGAGATTGGACATGTGTGGCTGTGAATGGATGATGTTGCTAACTTCTCATGAACTTGGCCAAGACTATTTCTATCCTCGTATTGTCGATGTTGATTTCAGTGTATAACGATATGTTTGAATTGGTTTTATATTTAAATTGAAAATTATGTAAAAAATTTAAAATTTGTGATTAAATACATCTTAATGTTTATATAATTATAAAAAAAATTAGCATTAAAGATAAAATGAAATATGTGAAACTTATCATATTGAAATTTAAAACATCAATCTTTTTTTTTTAATTTTATTTTAAGAGAAAAAGTTTGTAGCATAAACTAGAGTAGAAAATGGTATCTTTTTTACCCGGTATATGCCATCAGTTCTTGAGTTTGGAATCATATGTATATCACTTATATGAGTATGATTGATTATGTTTGGATTGACTTATAAGTCAAAAGCTAGAAGATACATACTTTTAACTTTTGATTTATTTTTTAAAAAATTATTAACCTAAATGTGAGGGTTTAAAAACATTTTTTAATCTTTCCATACACCTCAAAGACTAAAAAATATATATTTAAAAGTCAAACACATCTAATAGTAAGTTGATCTAAACGGACAATACTGCATTTTCTGAGTTGACGAGTGGATGTAGGAGCTAAAAATTTACTGCTAGGGTCAATTGGTTTGAAAGCAAGTTATGTAGAAATCAATAATGTCAAAATTGCATTATACTACAAATTAATAACAAGTAATGCAAGATTAGTAATATTGCAACTATAATTCAAATATTACAATACAAAAATTGCAACGTAAATATTGTTATGTAGGAATTATTAATCAATTGAAAACAAAAGAAATCTTTTTAAAACATAATAAAGTTGTTTGAAGGGTATAATTTTTGGCATACTACCTTTTAGGAAAAATTACTGAAATACACGTCTTATGTTTCCCTTATTTATAACTTTCCATTTTAGTTCTAAAAACCTCTAAAATCTCTTATTTCTCTAATAGTTCTAAATTATTTTATAATGTATCCGAGCTAGTCTTTAATGTATCCAAGCTACATATTATATTCGGTTTATTTTATAATGTATCCGAGCTACATATTATGTATCCGATTTATTTTACTTTTTCAAGGATTAATGTAATTACAAAATAAATAGAGATAGATTGTAATTTCATATTAAAACTATGTGATTCCTAAAATTTATACCTTTTATCCTCAAATTTCTGGTTAATTTAAATTTACAGTGTAAGCCCAATTTAAGAGGAAAATGTTCTTTATTCTCTAACAAAAAGTTTTTTATTTAAAATTTAAATTTGAGACCTTTAACTTTTATTTTATTTTAAAAAAAGGAAAAGTGTTCCTCCCACCAAAACCGATTCTACATATTTTGTGACTATCGCTGAAGATGAAAAAAACTGATAATTGGAAATGTCAAAGGAACAGTTCCAAAGAAGTTGACTGACATGTTTACAACACACGAGTTTACAACACTGCTTTAGAATTAGAGTCACACTAGGATAGACTACTTATATCGACTAGGCTGCTATTTATTGTACTAGTTGAGTCGAC